ACACATACCACATACACATCACACACACATGCACACACACTGACACATCATGCACACCACACACACACACACACCCCCCACAAGCTTAGGGTCAGCTCCCAACACACACAGCAGTGTCAAGGAATAGAGACAGGGAGCCCAGTGTTGTACACAGACCTGGATTTGCTTTTAGGCATTTCTGACTTCCATCTTTATAGGATGGTGAATCACAAGTGGATGGGGCTGATGGGCTAAAGGAAGTCAGTGGATGGAAAGACCTAGAAGACGGAAAGCAAGAGTCCCACCATGAATGGAGATCAGACGCCAAGTTATTGGATGAGGCTGCCACAAGGGGACACAGAGACGGACTCTGTGTCCTTGAGAGTCACAAATGCCAAATGGCTGACATAACCAGAGCATACAGCCAATGCTCTGTACCCTTAGCACTCAAAGCTGGACAAAGCTGGCTTGCCCTCCACATCCTCTTTAAGGACCTTTAGCTCTGACGCTGTGGAAAGAGCCTCCTCTGGTCTCTTCCAAAGACAATCCTCTTCCAGAGGGATTCAAATGATAAGCATTGTTGGAGACAGAGCTCATGGCAACTTTTTGAGGGGAACATAGTTAATGACAAGCAACCTGGGAAACAGGTCTGCTGTGGCTCCAAGAAGAAGCATTAGGGAGGCTGGAAGTGTGTACGTGTGTGTGTGTGTGTGTGTGTGTGTGTGTGTGTGTGGTGTTTGTATGCATATGTGTTTGTGTGTGAATGTGCATGGTGTGTGTGTGTGCAACTAAGTGTGCCCCTGATTAAGAACCTTTTTATTTGCTCACTCTGTTCTTTATTCGTTTTTGAGAAAGAGTCACTACCTCAGGCTGGCCTTGGACTCAGTCTTAGTTTGTTTTCTATTGCTGTGCTAACTCACCATGATTGAAAGCAACTTGAGGAAGGAAGAGCTTATCTGGCTGACATATCCCAGTCATAGTTCACCTCTGTGGAAAGCCAAAAGCAAGAACTTAATCAAGGCAGGAACCTGGAGGCAGATTATGTTAACGGTTAGTACAAAGCATGGTATAACTTTAAAAGTCCCAATCTTTCAAATACTTTAAAAGTTCAGCTTCTTTTTTTAAAAAAATCTATTCTTTTTAAAATCCCAAAATCTTTCAACTATGGGCTCCTGTTTAAACAAAAGAAGAAACAGAAAACAAACAAACAACAACCAAAACCCAGGGCACAGTTACAAGCAGATCAAAGCTAAGCTAAAAAAAAAAAAATCCAACAGTGTAAATAACTCCATGTGTGATATCTGGGACTCACTCATGATTTTCTAGATTCCAAAGGGCTTGGGGACCTCCATTTCTCTGGCCATGCCATCCACAACACTTATAATGACTTTTCCTGCCCAAAGTTGTAAATGCTTGTACAGCCTCCCCCAAAACAGCATGGTAAGAATAGGGTTTTTTGCCGGGCGGTGGTGGCGCACGCCTTTAATCCCAGCACTTGGGAGGCAGAGGCAGGCAGATTTCTGAGTTCGAGGCCAGCCTGGTCTACAGAGTGAGTTCCAGGACAGCCAGGACTACACAGAGAAACCCTGTCTCGAAAAACAAAACAAAACAAAACAAAACAAAAGAATAGGGTTTTTCTGGTCAACTTGACATGGGGCAGGGTCATCTGGGAAGAAGAACTTCAATCTAGAAACTGCCTCCATCAGGTTGACTAACAGGCAAGTCTGTGGAATACTTTCCTAGTTAATCGATGATGTGGAAGGGCCTAGCCCACTGTCACTGCGGGTTTCACTCCTGGTACTAGCTTCTATCCTAGTTTGCTGTTTACTGCTGTGTTAAACACCATGACCAAAACCAGCATGGAGAGGAAAGGGTTTATTTCATCTTACAATTCTCAGGTTGCCCTCCATCACTGAGGGGAAGTCAGGGCAGGAATTCAAGGCAGGAACTGAAGCAGAGGCCATAGAGAAACACTGCTTATTGGCTTGCTCCCACCTCCTGCTTTCTTAGAACAACACTCCGGACCACTTGCCCAGAGTGGCACTGCCTACAGTGGCTTAGGCATTCCCACATCAATTATGAATCAAGAAGATTCTTCACAGACTTTCCTGCAAGTGAATCATCTGATGGAGGCATACCGCCCTCCCTTGAAGTCCTTCTTCCCAGATGACCTGCCCCTTGTCAAATTGACAAAACAAAACAAACAAGAAAACAAACAAACAAACAAAAATTAAAAACAAAAACCAACCAACCCAAACAAACAAACAAAGAAAAAGACCTAACCAGCATATGTAGCATGTAGCTGAGAATGGCCCAGAACTGGTCCTCTACCTCCTAGGTTCTGGAGTTATAAGCACACGTAGCAAACCAGGTTTATGTGGTACCAGGGATGGAACTCAGGGCTTCTGCACACTAGACAAGCACTTCAGTAACAGCTACATCCACAGCTCTGCTCCAATTATTAGTGTACTGTTTTTATGAGTGTGTAGTGTGTGTGTGTGTGTGTATACACACACACATATGTGTGTGTGTGTTTGCATGTATGTACATGCATGTGAAGACCAGAGATCAATGTGCCTTCCTCGAGTGCTCTCTTGCTGAACTTGGAGCTCACCGATTCGGCTATGCTGGCTGCAGAGAACTAAGCCTTCTGTCTCTGCCACCTCAAAGCTAGGATTCCGGATCCATGCTGCTGTGCTCAGTTTTCATGTGAACGCTGAGAATCCAAACCCAGGTCGTTATATTAATATGACAGGCACTTTCCCAACTAAGCTATATATTGTCTCAGCCTACCTTCTATGATATCTTTATAATTTTTTGTTTTCTTTTTCGTTTTTCAATACAAGGTTTCTCTGTGTAGCCTTGGCTTTCCTAGAACTCACTCTGAACACCAGGCTGACCTGGAACTCATAGATTGCCTGCCCCTGCCTCTCAAGTGCTAGGATTAAAGGCATGTGCCACCATCACCCAGATCTTTTAAAATTTGATTCTAAAAGTGTATTTAGTGTTATTGGTGGGAAAGTGGGGGAGTGTTGGGCATGAGACCCATGCAAGGCAAGTGCTCTGAGACTGAGCCTCATGCCCAGCCAGGAGACTGGTTTTAAGAGATGTGCCCTGCAGTGCTTTCTGCTAGCAATATCCTCCTGGGAGCCCAGCGAGGTGTCCCTCTGGGTTGCCTTTCCAGGACTTTGCTTGGAGAAAGCAAGCCAAGTACTGGGTACAGCATGAGCCACACCCAAGCAGCAGACTCCTATTTACAGATAGATGTACCTGGTCTCCTGGTAAAATGGGTGTGTACTCTCCCCTGAAAAGAGGAGCAGGCTGCAAGCAGGTGATGGCCCAAATGTGGGTCTGTAGAATGACTCGTGAGTGAGTTAGAGCATCTATCTACTCCAGCGGTAAGCCTAAGTCCCTGGCTTGGAAGAGAGCCTGGGTCAGAGCATGGCTCTGCTGCTAGCTAACCTTATAACTGCCTGACAAAGGAGGATGCCCAGCTTCTTCTCAGAGTCACGAGGGACTGTCCAGGTTGCAGGAACTCTGCCTGCCTTGTTAACGAGGGCTTTGTCCACACCAACTGTTCTAGGGACTCGTTGTCTGCATCAGAAGCATCAGAAGATGACTCATGAATGCTTGGAAAATAAACTACTCTTTAGCCGGGTGGTGGTGGTGCACGCCTTTAATCCCAGCACTTGGGAGGCAGAGGCAGGCGGATTTCTGAGTTCGAGGCCAGCCTGGTCTACAGAGTGAGTTCCAGGACAGCCAGGGCTACAGAGAGAAACCCTGTCTCAAAAAAAAAAAAAAATCTACTCTTTAAACCTCACTTAAAAAAAAACAAAAACCTTTACTGCTGTGATTAGTTATCCACAACCAACCTTGAGTCCACATGGGATTGAAATGAAAAATCCCACAAAGAGCTACCTCTTGGTCCTCTCTCACTTTGTTAGACACTCTCCAGAGCTCTATTCAAGCCATCCAGGGCAGATGTGCCAACCACTCAGCTGTCCCCTCATGTCCCAGGATGCCTGGCTTTTCTGAATTTCAGTTTTCTCACCCGTACAACGGGGACGATGATAGTCATGACATTACTGGTCATAAGGACCTTTGGCCCTCAGCTGAGCTTAGATGATGCATGGCCATTCAAAGGAGAGGGTCAGCAGTGGGCAGCAGTGGCACATGCCCTTAATCCCTGCACTCAGATGGGAGAGGCAGGTGGATCTCTGTGACTCTGAGGCCAGCCTGGTCTACAGAGTGAGTTACCAGGACAGCCAGGTCTATGTAGAGAGGCCCTGTCTTTAAACCAAAATAAACAAAAGCAAAGTAAAGAGATTTTAAGGTTGGATTTAAACTCACGGACACAAATCCTTTTCAAAAGCAAGCAATAACACTGTTTATTACATGGTGGCAAGTTTGTGCTCCTAGATAAGAAACGGTCTTGTAGAAAAACAACAAAATAAATAGAAATAAATTAATAAATAAATAAATAGGATCACTTCAAAGGTGATCCTAGAGCTGAGGAAAAGAGGCCAGGTAGTCAGAAGCCGGAGTCTGCAGTCCACGAGGTCTCCCTGCAGTCAGGAGGTCTTCCTAGACCAACTTCAACACTGTGGGGAGGAGAGACAGGCCAACGTCAGACTTGGGAGTGAAACACAGGCAGGAGCAGAGCTTCTCCCCACCACACCCCCATCTGTAGTCCCCAGATGATGTCGAAGTCTAAGGCTCTGGGAAGGGCTATCTCACTGGACCTCTGTTTCTACTGTAAAGTGGGTTGGGCACGCTCTTTGCCTTTGATAATTCTGTTTGGAGAAGACAGAAGGGAAACGCTCAGAACTCTTTCTGCCTTGTGAAGGGGTAGTCAGACATCAGGCAGTCCGATCCCCGAGGAGCGTGTGACCCCCTTGATGGAAAGTAGGTGCTGACCTGTGAGGATGTCATGAAATACCCATGTGATATTTCCTGACAGGTTGCCTTGAAGACTGTCAGCAAGGTGGAGGCAGGCTGTGCAAGTATGCCAGACAGCAAACCTAGGGGCCTCCGAGGGCGGCATACGTGGGGATGGGATGGGTGTGCAACTTTGCGGGGAAGTGGCAAGGTAGGTGCTCACCGTTACAGCCCAAACGACTGACAGAGCCGATCCGGTCTATCCTGTGCCCAAAGCAGCTTGAAGTATGCATCGCCTTGGAATTTCGAGGTCTCTGCTGGACCCGGAAGGTGCTGTCTTGAGACCGAAGGACTCTTTTGAGAGGTTCTTCTGTGAGGCCTTGGTCCTTGGAGAGCTGTCTCTGAGCCATTTCCTCTGACTTTTCACTTATCAGCTCCAGTAGCTTCTGTGATGGATTGGGGGAGCCCAGACCTCAGACACACGCACCTGACTTCCCCACCCTTCTGCAGTGCTCATCGGTTAAGGGATCTGCTGCCCAGTCTTTTGGTTTTCTAACTCTCACATGGCTAATTCCCAAAGGACATGAGATCTTTCCATTGCTGCTGCCCAAACCCTTCAGGCAGACTCCACCTCTCTATGCAGACCCTCGGTGCTCACCTGCATCTTGAATTGTTCTGGAGACTGGCTAGGACTTCCCAGAGGATGAGAGCGACCTCCCAGAGGTGACAGATAAAGGAAAAGCAGGAGCAGAATCATCTGGGACAGCACCTTCTGGAGATCCATGCTGCAGGAGCGATGGTCCAGCCTGCTGCAGTGGTGTGTGCCTTGTTCTCTCTTGTCTCACCGCCTCAAGCAGCTTGTGCATTGGTGTCTTCAGCAACGGTGCCTCTGCCTTTTATCCTGGGGCTGGGTGGCTGGCCAGCCCTTCTTACAGAGTAGGGGTGGGGTTATCTCTGATTTATCAGTCACATTCCTGCCCGCTGAGCTCAGGACCTGAGAATTCACCCCTCTGTGCCTGTGTGGAGTATTCGTTCCGGGTGGAGGCTGTGGAGAGCAGGCCTTGTATAGAAATGGGCTGGGCTATGGTAGGAGTGTGCGAGGGGACACTAACTTGTCCTTGTTTCCTGCTCCCTTCTTTCATGCAAAACCTATGGGCCTTTAACATCCTGCCCCACCCCTATCGGAAACGGGCGAGAAGAACCCCAGCTTTCCCAGCCTGCGGCGAGTGTGGGGGTTATAGCGTGACTCATCTAAAACACGCCCAGACAACACCCACCATCACCAGCCTCTGGGGGAGAGTGTCCTCCGAACCTGTAATCCAGGCCCTGCCTGGCTTCCAAGCACCTAGCTGGAAGGCTGGGCTCACTTCCGGGCACTCTGGTAGCTGTCCGTGGTTCTGATTACATGTGAACTTCACACAAACTTTCAAGTTCTCTCTCTCCTCAACTGATTTCCAGGCCAGAAGGAGCTATGTGCCTCACACAACCGCTCTGATACCTAGACCCACCTTCCAACAACCCCAACCCCCACCCCCACCCCATGCCTCAAAACCTTGTGAAGATTTCAGCTCGAGGATGCTCACGCTCCAATGTCAACTGATTAAAAGCAGGGTAATGACAAGGAACTTCTGGAATTTCAGCCCTCCTTTCTGTCCCTTAACAAGGATAGTTGATTAGGATAGAGTTTTGAGCCTGACCCAAAGATGAGGTCACGTAGTAATGTCTCTGGGGCATCTTTGGGTGCCAAGGTCTCCTCCTCCTCCATGAGTGGAAGAGAAAGGATGTCTAGACACTAGACGTGTGGGAAGGGCCTCTTCCCAGCTCTCTTACCTGATCGGCCATGAGTGACTTCTCCATCACACACCCAGCCTCCCACTCAGGTGAGAAATGAGACTCTGAGGAAATGAAGCCGTGGGATATACACCCAGGTGTGTGCCTAACGTCACTCTCCTTTCTGCAGAATCTGTGTTAACAAGTGTCGGGTTGGTCGAGGACAATGACCAGGCAGTGGGTTAAAGTCAAGATGAGGAAAGGGAATAGACCATGAGTTCAAAATCAGTCACATTTAGAGAAAGCTGTCAGGTTCTTCTGCAAGCTTCTGGGCTGTTTGGACCCATGTATGCCTGAGTTTCTGTGTTCTGACCCAAGGGAAACATTCTTTCTCCTAAGCCATTGTTTTTGAGGGGCAGAGAACCCCCTCCAGCTCCATTCTTAGTTCAAGCCTTCTCCTTGTACACAAATTTGCATTTTTAAGGGTTGGAGAGGCATCCCTCCTACTGTCCCAGTGCAAAGCTCACTGTCCATAATCCTTCTTACACAGTTTCCCTCTTGGAAACAAATTAGTCTACCATCCCCACACCCAGCTTCAGTAAGTTCTCAGGACACAGGCAGAATGAAGCCAGATTCTTGGCCGACGTCTCATACAAATGGCTCCCAGCCAAGTACCCGATAGAGCCCATGGCTCCTCTGAGAGAGCCACTATCCACATTTCTATCAACATTCCTGTCATCCAGCATGCATGTGGCAGGAGCTTGAAGCCATTGGTCACGTAACATCCACAACCAGGAAGCAGAGAGCAGTGAATTCCCCCCCCCCTTATATGGTTCAGGACCCCATCCATGAAACAGGCTCACCCACAGTGGGTCTTCTCACCTCAACTAACACAATAAAAATAATCCCCAGTGCTGGAGAGGTGACTAAGGTTCTTTAGAGCACTGGCTGCTCTTCTAGAGGACCCAGGTTCAGTTCCTGGGCCCACGTGGTGGCTCACAACTACTTATAACTCCAGTTCCAGGAGATCTGACACCCTCTTTCAGCATCCGCTTATTCTGTCATTGCTTGTTTGAGACAGGGTTTTATTGTGTGGTCCTTAGCTGACCTGGAACTCACTTTGTAGACCAGGCTAACCTTCAACTCACAGAGATCTGCCTGTCCTTGCCTCCTGAATGCTGTGTTTAATGGACTGTACATATTTTGAGACAGGATCTCGCAGCCCAGGTTAGCCTAAACTACCAAATCTTCCTGCTTCTACTTCTCAAGCACCCAGATTATAGGTGTGTGCCACCGTGCCTGTTTTATGTTGGCTGAAGAATGAACACCAGGCCTTGTGCTTGTTGGGCAAACACTGTACCACAAGCTCTGTCCATGAGACATACTCATGGTGCCATGAGGCACACATAGCTTGGTGGCTTACAGCGACCATCTTTCAACTGCATCCTCCAGTCATGATGACTGTTAGACCTCTGCTGTGGGACTCCTACTTGGTGTCCCTCCTCAGAGTGTGGCCTGGTGCCAGCTTCTGGAATCTCTTGAAGACATTGTTTGGCACTCTGTGCAGAGGTGGCCAGAGCAGATGCAGGCTGTTAGGACAGTTGTCTGTGATGACAAGTGAGGATCAAGGTTCAGTTTCTAACACCGACACAGCAGCTCACAGCTGTATGGTCTGGGCTTAGCACCAGTGTGGGGTCTGCTCCACCCATTTCCATGGTTTCAAACAGACCCCAGGGACTCCAAAGGAACCGGAAGTAGATCCCACCTCTGTGCAGCCATGGGAGCTGACCAAAAAGGAGTCTTCAGTGTCTTTGTCTAGACATTAGATCTTCAGACAAAGCAGTTTATGGAGTTGGCCTCTGACCTCCTCATTTTTGACCACTTGCCTTCAAGCCCTTCCTGCAGCTGGTGTTGTCAAATCCCAGACTGTGTTTAGAAAATCCAGTCTGAGAGGGACACACTAGTGAGTTCATCTTTTTTAGGCAAAAAGCCCTTAGAAAGGCCAAGTGTGCAGGGGCAGGAGTTTGAAAGCAAAGCATTTCATTCTTCCTAGACCGAGCGAGGCATCCAGACTTAAAGGTTTCTGAAGGATGGGCCAGTCTGAGACCTCTAGGAAGCAGGCTTAGTTGACACATGGCCTATGCTTTGTAACAGAGGTAGAGGAGGGGGACTTTGAACTACATGAGACAAGCCAATGGGTGGGGCTTGGGTTATCTGTGATACGGTCAGACTGCTGTGAACCCTGGGCAGAAAGGGGGGCTGGTTGTGTTCCCAACCTGCTTACAGCAGCACCTGGAGAGTCTGGGTTCTCACTTTGTCTCTGCTTGCCTATGAACTCTGTCCCCTTTGTTCTCCTTGTTTGTAAAGATGTATTTAGTGTTATTTTTTTAATGTACATCTATGTGTACTGTGTGTGTGCCACATGGTGAAATTTCTCTCTTTCTTTTCTCTTCTTTTTTTGAGACATGGTCTCATGTAGCCCAAGCTGGCCTTGAACTCGCTGTGTAGCTGAGGATAACCTTTACTTCTTACCCCCTTGCCTCTATCTCCCAAGTGTTGAGATTGCAGGCATACAACACTAAACTCAGTTTAATGCAGGGCAGCAGCGCTGGGGATGGAACCCAAGACTTTCTTATGCAAGCACTCTATCCGCTGAACTCTAGCCCCAGCCTGCGGGTCGAATTCAGGGACTCACACTGGTTGCACACTGCCAGTGGGCCACCCCTCTGGCCTTTCCACTTGAGTTATGTGTGTGTGTGTGTGTGTAAATGCCTGTGTGTATGTCTGTGCACCCTATGTTTACTGTGTGCCCCCAGAAGTCAGAGAGGGTACCAAGTCTTCTGGAACAGGAGTTACAGGCAGTTGTAAGCCAAGATGTGGTGCTGGGAATTGAACCTGGGTCCTCAAGAAGAACAACCAGTGTTATTAACTGCTGAGCCACCTCTCCTGCCTTCCACTGAGTCTTAAGCCTGCCCTCCCTGACTGTATTTTATTCATATACCTACAGTGGCAGGAGACAGTCTCCAGGTAATGCTCGCTGTTGTGCTCTCTGCTTCCTAGCATGTTTTCTGTTGGTTGCTATAGAAAAATGTCAGAGGCAGGATACTTTTTTTTTTTTTTTTGAGACAGGGTTTCTCTGTGTAGCCCTGGCTGTCCTGGAACTTACTCTGTAGACCAGGCTGGCCTCGAACTCAGAAATCCACCTGCCTCTGCCTCCCAAGTGCTGGGATTAAAGGCGTGCGCCACCACTGCCCGGCCGGCAGGATACTTCTTACAGAAGAAGAATTATTTAGCTTGCAGTTCTGGAGACTGGGAATTGAAGACCATGGTGTTTGCATCTGAGGTGGGGGGGGCTTCTCCCTTTCTCCCTTCTCCCTTTCTCCCTGTTCTGTGGTGTGTAGAGGATAAAGAACATCACTTTCTTCTTTCTTTTTCTGTTTTAATATTTTTTAATTTATCTTTTATGTGCATTGGTGTTTTACCTGCATGTATGTCCATGAGATTCGCCAGAATAGGAGTTCTAGGCAGCTGTGAGCTGCCTTGTGGGTGCTGGGAATTGAACCAGGGTCCTTTGGAGGAATAGCCAGTGCTCTTAACCACTGAGCCATCTTTCCAGCCCCACCCACTACAGTGTTTGTTCTGGTTTTGTTTTGGTTTTTTGGGTTTTTTTCTAAGACAAGATTTCCCTGTTCTTCGTGTAGCCCTGGCTGTTCTGGAACTAGCTTTGTAGACCAGGCTGGACTCGAACTCATAGAGATTCATCTGTCTCTGCCTTCCAAGTGCTGAGATTAAAAACATTGCACCACTGTGTTCAACTGAAAGCTTAGTCTTATGATCAAACTTCTGCAGAAATAAGGCATTCACCAATGAATCTGTGAATGGACTAACCTCCCAAGGCTCTCCCTCCATTCACAGGTGCATTTAGGACTAAGCTTCTGATATACGGGAACACATTCAAACAGGATACCCTTATCCTAGAAGTTAATAAAAGCGTCATTTAATATGCCCCTCCCC